ATAATGTTACACTTTTAAAATGGAGCTGCGGTGGCTCAAGTGGTTAAGACGCTGAACTGCAGGCTGTGGAAGGTCAGTAGTTCAGTAGTTCGAGACCCCGAGTGTGCCGCATGACGGAGTGAGCTCCCGTCTCTAGTTCCAGCTCCTGCCAACCTACGTAGCAGTTCGAAAGCAAGAAATTGCAAGTAGATAAATAGGTACCACTTCGGTGGGAAGGGAACAGCGTTCCGTGCGCCTTGGTGTTTAGTCATGCCGGCCACATGACCACGGAAACGTCTTCGGACAGCGCTGGCTCTTTGGCTTTGAAACGGAGATGAGCACCGCAACCCTAGAGTCGGATTCGACTGGCTTTCGAGCAAGGGAACCTTTACCTTTACCTTTTTACACTTTAAAATAGCAGCAGCGATGACATAATATATATGACAACAGGAGAAAAAGGGGCGCAACAACCCTATCATTTACCAAAACTATTTAAATATATAAGCGATTTTGATAAACTGACAACCATTAACGTCTGTGAAAATGCAGTCTATTAAGCAAAATCCTTTTGTAGCCTCAACAAAATAGGAGGAGCTGATATTTGGCAGCTTTAACAGCCTCCCATTCAAAACATTCTAAATCTATCTTTTCTACTAAAGGAAACCAAATACTTCGCAGGGCTCTTTTTGTAGCAGGTACTCATTTGCATATTAAGTGACACACCCCTAATATAGCCAATCCTCCAAGAGCTTACAGTAGCTCCTGTAAGAAGAGCTCTGTAAGCTCTTGGAGGATTGGCTACATTAGGGGGTGTGGCCTAATATGCAAAGGAGTTCCTGCTACAAAAAGAGCCCATCTTCTGCAAGCGCAGTCAAGATAACCTAAGAGTTATTTTCCCAGTGTGCAATCAAGGGGGTGCAGCCTAAACCTGGAAATAGATGTCAGTTGAGGTGGGTTGCCTATTGGGCTGACAGCTCCAGGCTGAGAAGCTGCCAGAGATTTGGGGTCTTTCCCTGAGGCCCCTTCCTTCCTTCCTTCCTTCCATCCAGGCCATGAGCTGCCCGAACGCCATCGTGTCTTACGAAATCGTGCTCTCCATAACGAGGCTGATCAAGAAGTACGGCAAGGAGCTCCAGGCCGTCACGTGGGACATCATGCTGGATATTATCGAGCGGCTGCTGCAGCAGCTTCAGGTGAGGGCCCCGTCCCCCCCTCCCTTCCCGGTTTGTGCCCTGAGTGTAAAAGGACTCCCTAACTTGGCAGGGCACACAGTGGTGGATGGGTTCAGCTGGGGTTGGCGCCACATGGTCTTCCGTGCACTGTTGACGCTCCGCTTTGTTTTGGGTGCAAATCTGAGCGATGCTGGGTTGTGGCACAGTGTTCAGGAGCGTGGGAAGGTTTGGCTTTCCTTTAACGCAGGCCCCGTCCCACTTTCTGTGCCTCCATCTTCTTTGGTGTAGTGGTTAAGTGCACGGACTCTAATCTGGGAGAACCGGGTTTGATTCCCCACTCCTCCGCTCGCACCTGCTGGATGACCTTGAGCAAGCCATAGTTCTGACAAGAGCTGTCCTTGAAAATGAGCAGATTCTGTCACAGCTCTCTCAGCCCCACCTACCTCACAGGGTGTTTGTTGTGGGGAGGGGAAGGAGTTTGTAAGCCGCTCTGAGACTCCCTTGGGTAGTGAAGGGCGGGGTATAAATCCAGTATCTCTCTTCTTCCTCTTTCCTGTCTCACCCACTGTCAAAACGTAGCTTGTAAGTGACCTGGGGCAGGGACCAAACTACTTGATCTTGTAAGACTGTCTAGTGTCGAGAGCATTTGGTGCTTGCGTAAAAAACTGTGTGTGGCACCTGTACCTAGGAGAATCCCCTGGAATCCCCTCCAGTGTTCCCTCTTAGCTGTGCTAGGGGGTGCTGGAGCACAACATTTTAGCTAGCTGTTCAGACAATTTAGCTTCCAGCCCAGGAGCATTTTTCCCTTCATTGGATGGGGGCACCTCATTCTGGGGCCCATAGAATTGGACCACGTGGTCCAGTCTTTTTGAAACTTGTGGGGGTTTTTGTGGAGAGGCACCAGCAGCTATGCTGCAAATTTGGTGCTGCTACCTCAATAAACACCCCCCCCCCCAGAGCTCCAGATACCCCTGGATCAATTATCCGTTATAGCCTATGGGTCTCATTGAGTTTAATGGTCCCCATAGGCTATAATGGAGCCAGGAAAAATAGATTTATTTATTTTTTGCACACCCCATTATGCTTTTCAGTACGATTTGTAAGATGCCTTGCGTCACACTAAAAGTGGGATATAAATATTTGAATAGATAAGTAGTTTGGGCAGGTTGATTACCATTTAAGCAACTTCCTGTTTGCACGGTTAGGCAGGGTTCTGACAGTGCAATTTCCACCTCTGCTATACATGACCTGTAAATTTGTCGTATTTCACTTAAAAAAAATCCCCAAAGAAGACTGCAAGAGTTCTCTCCGCCCCTAAGTGCTGGTATGTTTTCTAAGGGTCAGTGCAGGGCGACAGTCCGAGGCCAGGCCTACCAATATAGTGGAAAGGGGTGGGTAGACCTGTTCTCCGGAAGCCTGGTCTACCCCCCATAGAGGACAGTATTTTCCGTAATGAGATTTGACTTGATTCTGTTTTCTCTTATAGTGTTATTGCTAAAAATATAGCTTAAATATAGTTAAAAATATGGTTAAATATCGTTAAAAATTATTCTGAGACTTTTACAAGGTTATGGAAGTAAACGTCTGAAAAACTAACTTGCGCGATAGTCAGATGTAGACTCGCTTACAACTTTAATGCTACTAGTTTTTTTAGCTCACGAGGTAGAATTCCTGCTCACAACACTGTGGAGCTTAGAAGGAGCATTGACCCCCCCTCTCTACACATCGGTTCTGGAGACAAATCCAGGTAGGTGAGCAGGCCCGGAAACGAAGGTTTCGGTCCCTGGTGAGAATCAAGCGCAGCGACTGCTACAGACGTCCCTTTTGGGTAAGCCAGTTAGGCCAGGACCTGGGAATGCCGTCAAGCCTCCCGGCGGCCTCAATCGCCAACCTTAAGAACACCGGAAAAGGGAGAGAATCCATTAAACAGGATTATCTTCCTACAAAATATAGAGAAGGTCTAAAGTATTGCATCCTTTTTTTTTGTCTTTTGGTATTTTTTTGTATTTTTCATATGTGCACGTGTGTGTGTGTGAGAGAGAGAGAGAGAGAGAGAGAGTGTGTGTGCCCCTGGAAGTCATGGCCACCTCTGGCGAGTGACCCCTACTGGGGGCCTGGAGGATATTCCGAGAGGTGGCTGAATGAAGCCTGCCCCCACCTCCCGACTGCTGGACTTCCTTGGAGGTCTCCCACCCCAGTACTTGCCAGAGTCAGCCCTCCTTAGCTTCCGAGATCTGACGAGATCGGGCTTGCCGGGGCTATCCAGGTCATGGCGCATTACATCCTTTTTGTGATTTTTCTTTAATTATAAAAGCAAGAAGAGGCTGGACGGATATTTGTCAGAGATGCTTTAGACTGGTTGCTTTAGGGGGTTGGACTAGATGGTCTGTATGGCCCCTTCCAACTCTGTGATTCTATAAAAATAAGTGGCAGGCTTCAAGGAACGAGCATGGATAAAACTACAGCAGACTCTTTGGCCTCCCTTCAGGCAGTGTCTCTGTAGTCGGTTCCGCCTCCTCTTTTAAGCCGAAGGTTCCCGAAAACTTTCCACCCAGCTTCACACAGTGACATGCTGGGATGTCAGGACTCCATTGGCATCAAAAATTTCAGCAGGCAAGATTAGCTTTGTTAGGGACAGGGCGACTTTTGAAAACGACCAGCTTCCGGGTGTGTTGTAGGGCTATCTTTCGGCTGTGCTCCTGCAGAGTGCAGGGGGTTGGACTAGATGACCTGCAAGGTCCCTTCCAACTCTAACATTCTATGATTCCATGAAAACGCCACCGCCTGTGTTTTCAGAAATGGTGAGCAAGGCCATCACGCACAATGGAAACTTTTAAGTCCTCCACAACCAGACTAGTCAGGACATAATAGATGTCCTCAGGCCTTCTGCTATGGCCAACCGTGACAAGATGCCAGGGGCTGGTGAACCAAGTGGCCATTTCTGCCTTCCAGACCTTGGAGAGCCAGGAGCTGAAATCTATCGTCCACGATCTGCTGACCACCGTGGAGGAGCTGTGCGACCACAACGACTTCCACGGCTCCAAGGAGAGATACTTTGAGCTCGTGGAAAGATGCGCCGATCAGCGACCGGTAAGGCGGGGAAATCTCCGGGCACATCTTTCAAGCTCCTTCTGGTGACTCTTAGCAGGGGTTCTGTTGAGAATGAACATACTCGTCTTCTACCTTGGGCAGGGGGCTTCTTCTTCTTCTTCTTCTCAGTGATGCACAAATCTGTGCCTGTGTGCCAAATTGGAAACACACAGTCATAGTCCAGCGAGTTAGATGAATATCTGTTTATTGCAAGAAACAGGAATACAGGACTGGGTGCCTTAGCCCCCAATAACACCAAGCTGTATCCTGCCATAACCAGGAAGGGCAGAATGTCTTATACCCCAAATGACATCACATTAAAGAATCTCTAATTGGTACCAAGCAGTTAACATCATACAAGCATCATTTGACTTTAAACCTGACTATTGGTCTCTCCTTATAGTGGTCATGTATGTCCGTGGTTACATTTGCTTATCTGGTCTCCAGAACAATGGGAATACCAAAGAACACTGGGTCCCTTTCTGGCCTCGCATATGGAGAGCTACCTGATAAGGGCTGTTGAATCACAGTAAACTTCGCTCTCGGCGTCCTTGCAACTTCTAAATAGCATTCCATCCTATCTACAGAGGCTTCTAATGATATCTTTGCTTAATATGGCTTCTTATACAAAAAATGCACTTATAAAGTATATATGTTCTACTATAAGTTTCTCTAATCAGAAGCTTCTAGTTTACTTACCAGGATCTGGACCTATTATGATTAAACTTCCTCATCAAAGGCTCCTAAGTAAGCGCAAAAATCAAGGGATAAAAGGACAAGTCCTTTTGTGGATCAAAAACTGTAATTAATAGGAAACAGAGAGTGAGTATAAATGGGAATTTTTCTCAGTGGAGGGTGGTAAGCAGTGGGGTACCGCAGGGATCAGTACTGGGTCCGATGCTTTTTAACTTGTTCATTAATGATTTGGAGTTGGGAGTAAGCAGTGAAGTGGCTAAATTTGCAGATGATACGAAGTTGTTCAGGGTGGTGAAAACCAGGGAGGATTGTGAGGCACTCCAAAGGGATCTGTCGAGGATGGGTGAGTGGGTGTCAACGTGGCAAATGGGGTTCAATGTGGCCAAGTGCAAGGTGATGCACATTGGAGCTAAAAATCCTAACTATAAATACACGTTGATGGGGTCTGAACTGGCAGAGACTGAACAAGAGAGAGATCTTGGAGTCGTAGTAGATAACTCACTGAAAATGTCGAGACAGCGTGTTACTGCAATAAAGAAGGCAAATGCTATGCTGGGGATTATTAGGAAGGGTATTGAAAACAGATCAGCCAATATCATAATGCCCCTTTAGAAATCAATGGTGCGACCTCATTTGGAATACTGTGTGCAGTTCTGGTCACCACACCTTAAAAAGGATATTATAGCTTTGGAAAAAGTGCAGAAAAGGCCAACTAGAATGATAAAAGGGTTGGAACACTTTCCCTAGGAAGAAAGGTTAAAGCGCTTGGGGCTCTTTAGCTTGGAGAAATGACGGCTGAGGGGTGACATGATTGAGGTTTATAAGATTATGCCTGGGATAGAGCAGGTAGAGGAAGAAGTCCTTTTCTCCCTTTCTCACGATACAAGAACTCGTGGGCACTCCATGAAATTGCTGAGCGGTCGAGTTAGAACAGATAAAAGGAAGTACTTCTTCACCCAAAGAGTGATTAACACTTGGAATTCACTGCCACAGGAGGGGGTGGCGGCTACAAGCATGGACGGCTTCAAAAGGGAATTAGATAAGTATATGGAGCAGAGGTCCATCAGTGGCTATTAGCCACAAGGTCTAGATAGGGACTCTCAGTCTGGGGCAAGGGATGCTCTGTATTCTTGGTGCTTGGGGGGGGGCAACATTGGGAGGGCTCCTAGTGTCCTGGCCCTCCTGATGGCACCTGGTATTTTTGGCCACTGTGTGACAGAGTGTTGGTCTGGATGGGCCATTGGCCTGATCCAACATTGACTTCTCTTATGTTCTTAAGGCACAGTGACAGCTGTCGATGTATATATCAAAGACAGAGAGAGAGTCAGAAATCACATTCTTTTTCCCTTGTCCTACATCAACAAGGACTGTTGATGTCAGGACTGTACTGCAGGCTCTGGGAATGTTGAGCTGCTTCCTAGACAGTGGACCGCAAGGCAGGCGGAGCCTGGTGCTTCCAGCTGGTCAAGGAGGATCGCAGCACATGGAGAAGCGGCCTCCTGCTGAGTCAGGCTGCTCGGTCTGTCAAGCCGAGCATTGTCAGTCTTGGCCGGCAGCAGCATTCCGGGGACTCAGGTCTTTCCGGTCATCCAAGACCTGCTCCTTTAACTGGAGATGCAGGGAATCGAACCTGAGGCTTTCCGCAGGCAAAGCAAGTCCCCTGCTCGCGAGCTACAGCACAGAGGAGGGTGACCCAAGATGGTGCAGGGTTTGGAGCCCCTTCCCTAGGAGGAAAGGCTGAAGAGCCTAGGACTTTTATTCATTCGTTCGTTCGTTCGTTCGTTCATTCATTCATTCATTCATTCATTCATTCAATTTGTACCCTGCCCTCCCCTTGAGCAGGCTCAGGGCAGCTAACACAGTTGGTACAATTACCAATAAAACCACATAAAATCACATTTAAAGGTAAAGGTTCCCTTGCTCGAAAGGCAGTCGAATCCGACTCTAGGGTTGCGGTGCTCATCTCCATTTCAAAGCCGAAGAGCCAGCGCTGTCCGAAGACGTTTCCGTGGTCATGCGGCCGGCATGACTAAACACCAAGGTGCACGGAACGCTGTTCCCTTCCCACCGAAGTGGTCCCTATTTCTCTACTTGCAGTTTCTTGCTTTCGAACTGCTAGGTTGGCAGGAGCTGGAACTAGAGACGGGAGCTCACTCCGGCTTGCGGCACCCGGGTCTCGAACTGCTGAACTACCGACCTTCCACAGCCTGCAGTTCAGCGTCTTAACCACTTGAGCCACCGCAGCTCCAAAATCACATTAAAACAATTCAGATACAAATGCATCAGAAAAGCATAGGTGCTAGTTATCCATCATTAGTTGATTAAGATGGTGTGCCATGAGTTTTACAGCAGACAATCCAGCTCATGGTTTTCCTAGTCGCACAATGGTCTAGGCCGGATGTTAGGCTAAAGGCCGGGCTCGTTGATGGCAATAATCGGGGCGGCTCCTAGTCAAAAGCCTGGCGGAAGAGCTCCGTCTTGCAGGCTCCGTGGAACTGTAAGAGGTCCCGCAGGGCCCTGATCTCTTCCAGGAGCTCATCCCACCGGAAGAGATCAGGGCCTTGCGGGACCTCTTACAGTTCCACAGGGCCTGCAAGACTTTTCAGTTTAGAAGAGAAACAACTAAGGGGGAACATGACAGAGGTCTATCAAACAATGCACGCGGTGCAGAGAGTTGACCAAGAGACATTTTTCTCCCTCTCCCAAAAGATTAGAACTCGAGGGCATCCAGTGAAGCTGATGGGCAGTAGGTTCAGGACGAAAGGAAATACTGCTTTACACAGAGAGTGATTAAAATGTGGAATTCGCTGCCAGAGGATGTCGTGACAGCCACAGGAATAGACAGCTTTAAAAGGGGATTAGGCAGATTCATGGAGGAGAGGTCTCTCAGTGGCTACTAGCCACGGGGACTGAGGGGAGCCTCCACATTCAAAGGCACTAATCCCCTGGATCCCAGAGCCAGGAGGCAACCTCAGGGGATGGCCTCGGCCTTGATGCCCTGTTGTTGGTTGTCCGGAGGAACTTGTTTGCCACTGTATGGGACAGGGATCAATGTTCCCTCTAAGCTGTGGAGTCCTGTGAGCACAAATTCTACTTTCTGAGCTACTGGCATTAAAGTTGTGAGCAGGTGATTTGGCTGCTGCATAAATTAGTCTGCTCTAGAGCCATCCTTCCTGAGCGAGGACAAAAATGGGTGAGCCGGAGGCTAAAAAACTGTGAGCTAGCTCACACTAACTCAGCTTAGAGGGAACACTGGACAGGATGCGGGACTTCATGGACCGCTGGTCTAATCTAGCAAGGGTATTCTTATGTTCTACAGGGAATGAGTGTGGACCGCTGAGTGAACTGGGCAGGCGCAGTCCACACCAGCAGCAGTCCCCGTGTCCCAGGGATAAATGCCACCATTCCAGTCATGTGTGTGTTAACTGTCATCAAGTCACTTTTGACACGACTCTATGAATTAACGTCCTCCAAAACATCCTGTCCGTCACACCCTTGCTCAGGTCTGGCAAACTGACCGTCGCACTCCGATATCTGCACACGCCGAGAGTTATAATAGCCACGCTCAGAAAGAATTATTAAATCTGCATCCCTTGGATGTGTGTGCTTAAAGGTTTGAGATAGCCCTCACACGACCCAATTCTTTTGCTACACAGGATATCTGGAATGCCATATAATCAGCCTGTCTGAGCAATAACACAAGTTTATATAGAAAAGAGCCAGAGTCCAGGAGCACCGGAAAGACTAACCAAATTTGTGGCAGGGGAGGAGCTTTCGTAAGTCACGGGCCGGCTCACTTCTTTAAGACTAACCAAATTTGTGCGGTGACTCAGGAAAGCTCCTCCCCTGCCACAAATTTGGTTAGTCTTTCCGGTGCTCCTGGACTCTGGCTCTTTTCTGCTTCTACATACAGATGAGCACGGCTACCCATCTTGATCTATTGACGTTTATGTGTTATATGTTATATATGTCATAGTGTGCATGTATATACAAAAATCTGGCTACAGAGGAAGGCCTTGGAGGCTGAAATGCATTTAAAAAGTAAAGGTTCCCTTGCTCGAAAGCCAGTCGAATCCGACTCTAGGGTTGCGGTGCTCATCTCCGTTTCAAAGCCGAAGAGCCAGCGCTGTCCGAAGACGTTTCCGTGGTCATGTGGCCAGCATGACTAAACACCAAGGTGCACGGAACGCTGTTACCTTCCCACCGAAGTGGTACCTATTTATCTACTTGCAATTTCTTGCTTTCGAACTAGAGATGGGAACTCACTCCATCATGCGGCACACTCGGGTCTCGAACTGCTGAACTACCGACCTTCCACAGCCTGCAGTTCAGCATCTGTTTTAATTTTAGTCCAGTTTTAATATGGCTCAAGGTTATCAATCTAGATATATTTAATTATTGGTCCTGTTTTATTGGTTCAAGGCCTTTAACCTGGAAATATCCAACTGTATCAGGTTATATACAGGGCTTCTTAGTTCAAATTTTCGCCACTTCAAGGGTGGATTGTGCCAGTGTTCTTAAAGTATAGTGTTAGTGCACTTTGTAATACGTTCACATCTTTTGTTTATTTCTCAAAATGTTTTTTCTCCCACCTTCTCATAATGGGACCAAATGGGACCAAGTACCATAGCTTCAGCTTAGTCATTTTAGCTTCCAAGGAGAGTTTAGGCTTCAATTCCAGCCATGTTCAATAGAACGTTCTATTGAGACTGGGCCTTTGGCCCGCACAACTCCAGCCGCCTCTCACGTGTTGGGAGGTGCATGCTGCAGTTTCCCCCAGTGTCCTTTAGCCACACCGTGAGTGCAATCTGTGCATGGTGTGATCAAGAAGATATTGATCAATAAATGGGACCTCGTGGGCTTTGAGCCCCCAGGTGGGATGACTGTAGAGCAAATTTCTCCGTGTTCCGTTATGGAGTCAATCAGCTCTTCCCTGTGTCACCCTCCTGCTGTGTTCAGGAGGTCTTTTTGTGTTGGGTTTGGATGTATAAATACAGGGGTCATTTCGTAGAAAAAGAGGTGCAGGAGCTCATTAGCATAACTTATTAGCATAACTTATTTGCATATGCCACCCCTGACATCACTGGAAGTGTGTCAGAAGGCAACACCCACCACTCAGGCTCCACTGGGACTGATTTTGGATTGCTAGCTATTGGGGGGAGGGGGAACATGCAGCTCTGTCCCTCACAGAGGAGGGAGAGCTTGTACCTGAATAAAACTTGGTCTTAAAGGTGCCACTGGACTGCTTTGGACCAGGGGGCCGGGGAAAGCTCTGCAACACCCACCACTCAGGCTCCACTGGACTGTTTTGGATTGCTAGCTATTGGGGGGAGGGGGAACGCACAGGTCTGTCCTCGCAGAGGAGGGAGAGCTTGTACCTGAATAAAACCTGGTCTTAAAAGTCCCACTGGACCGTTTTGGATTGCTGGGGGGTGGGCTCTGCAACTTACCTGGCTGCTTCTTGCTCTGAGGGCTGCTGGGAGCAGGGGGTGGGGCTTGATGCATGTCCCCGCCCCTTGGGCTCTTTACTGCTGGAGCTCTGCTCCTGTGCGCTCCTGCAGGAAATGACCCCTGTATAAATGTAAAAAGGCTGCCCTTTTTTTTTCCTCATTGGACAGGAGTCTTCCGTTCTGAACCTCATCACCTACCGAGCGCAGTCCATCCACCCCGCGAAGGACGGCTGGATCCACAAGCTGCAGGGGCTGATGGAGCGGTTCTTCAGGTCGGTCCCTTGCTGATCTCAGCCCTTCCTGACTTTGGTCACAGGCAATCCTCCCTCTAAGCTGTGGAGTCTTGTGAGCAAAAATTCTACTTTGTGAGCTGCTGGCTTTAACGTTGTGAGCGAGCGATTGGGCTGCTGCATCAATTAGTTTGCGCTGGAGCCCTCCTTCCTGAGCTAACACAAAAATGTGTGAGCCGGAGGCTAAAAAACTGTGAGCTCGCTCACACTAGCTCAGCTTAGAGGGAACACTGGTCACAGGCCAGAGGACCGATCCCTTAAGCACAACAGCAGGGCAGGGGCTTAAAAACCTTGTGGATGTCCAAATGTCATTGTCCTTTGAGAGCCAGCGCAGTGTGCTGGTTGAGAGCAGTGGACTCTAATCTGAAGAAGTGGGTTTGATTCCCCACTCCTTCCTCCACACGAAGCCTGCTAGGTGACGTTGAGCCGGCCATAGTTGTCTCAGAACTCTCTCAGCCCCACCTACCTCACAAGCAATGCTCACTAAGCTGTGGACTCTTGTGAGTAAAAATTCAACTTTGTGAGCTCCTGGCATGAACGTTGTGAGCGAGCGATTTGGCCGCTGCATAAATCAGTTTGCCCTGGAACCCTCCTTCCTGAGCTAAGACAGAAATGTGTGAGCCGGAGGATAAGAAACTGTGAGCTAGCCCACGGTAACTCAGCTTAGAGGGAGCGCTGCTCACAAGGTGCCTGTTGTGGGGAGAGGAAGGGAATGGCAACTGTTAGGCACTTTGAGAATCCTTAAAGGTAAAGGTGAAGGTTCCCTTGCTCGAAAGCCAGTCGAGTCCGACTCTAGGGTTGCGGTGCTCATCTCTGTTTCAAAGCCGAAGAGCCAGCGCTGTCCGAAGACATCTCCGTGGTCATGTGGCTGGCACCAAGGCGCACGGAACGCTGTGACCTTCCCACCGAAGTGGTCCCTATATATCTACTTGCAATTTCTTGCTTTCGAACGGCTAGGTTGGCAGGAGCTGGAACTAGAGATGGGAGCTCACTTCGTCATGCGGCACACTCGGGTCTCGAACTGCTGAACTACTGACCTTCCACAGCCTGCAGTTCAGCGTCTTAACCACTTGAGCCACCGCAGCTCCTATTTGAGAATCCTTAGGGTAGGGGGGAAAACCCCAGGGTATAAAAAGCTACTCTTCATCCTCTTTCTGTGCAATCCCCTGTGCTCAGTGAGTTGGCAACTTGGCCCCCAAATGGCTCAACTCAATTTCCACCAAATGTTTGTCAACTTTTATACCTTTTTATAGTGGGAAACTTTGTGGGTGGGGGGTTCCCCTGCTTCGAAAACATAATCTCCTGCTTTTTCCTCCTTAGGAACGAGAACCGGAGTGCCGTTCGCATCAAAGTTCTGCACGTGCTCTCCTTCGTTCTGAGCGTTAACAGGCAGTTCTACGAGGTTGGTGCTCATCGTTTTAATTCTCGGTGGCCTGGCCTGGGCGTGGCTGTTCATGCACAAGGCGTTTCTCTAAATCTTCTAGAGCAGGGGTGTCGAACTCATTGGTTATGAGTGCCGGATCTGACATAAATGAGGCCTTGTTGGGCCGGGCCACGTGTGTCATAAAAGGTAATGGCAGGTAGCGGAGATATAAACTTTATAAAGGACTCAGGCTTTGGAGTTTGGCAGCCTTACTGGCAACTGAGATGCGGAGTTCTGTGACCAGTTCCAGGCTGGGTACTTGTGCGGTGCAGTTCCACATAGTGGTCGTGTTTGTGAAAGTTCCAGGCTTGTTCCTTGGCTGTGTGGAGAGAGGAGTGTGTGTGTGAAGGATAACCGCCCTGCCTGACAGAGGGGAGAGTCTGTGGGCTTCTCAGCTCTTCTCTTGTTTTGTCCGACCGATTCAAAGCTAGCGGTCCTGAGGCCGGTCTCTGCCCACCGGCTCACCAGACGGCCTTCCCCTCTTGCAGGAAGAGCTGATTAACCTGGTGGTCATCTCCCAGCTGGCCCACATCCCCGAGGACAAGGACCACCAAGTCCGCAAGCTGGCCACCCAGCTGCTGGTGGACCTGGCCGAGGGCTGCAACACCCACCACTTCAACAGCCTGCTGGACATCATCGAGAAGGTGAGCCCCCCCCCTTCCCAGGAAGCGGAGAGAACCAATGTGGGGAAACCCTGCTTGAGGCAGGGCATTCGTCTCCGGTGCAGCACCCCGGGGTTTGGTGTCGTGGCTAGGGGCCAGTTTGGTGTAGTGGTTAGGAGCGCGGACTCTAATCTGGGAGAACTGGGTTTGATTTCCAGCCATCTGTGGTGACCTTGGGTCAGTCACAAGTTCTGTCAGAGATGTTCTCTCATGAGCAGTCCTCAGAAGAGCTCTCTCAGCCCCACCTACCTCACAGGGTGCCTGTTGTGGGGAGCGGAAGGAGATTGTAAGCCGCTCTGAGACTCCTTCGGGTAGTGAAAGGCGGGGTATAAATCCAGTCTCCTCTTCCTCCTCCTCTTCTTCCTCCTCCTCCTCCTCCTCTTCTTCCTTTTCTTCTCTTCCTCTTCCTCTTCTTTTTCCTCTTTTTCCTCTTCTTCCTCTTCCTCCTCCTCCTTTTCTCCTCCTCCTCCTCTTCTTCCTTTTCTTCTCCTCCTCATCTTCTTCTCTTCCTCTTCCTCTTCTTTTTCCTCTTTTTCCTCTTCTTCCTCTTCCTCCTCCTCCTTTTCTCCTCCTCCTCCTCTTCTTCCTTTTCTTCTCCTCTTCCTCCTCCTCTTCTTCTTCCTCCTCCTCCTCTTCTTCTCGTTCTCCTCTTCCTCCTCCTCCTCCTCCTCTTCCTCCTCCTCCTCTTCCTCTTCTTCTGCAGGGAGGGGGGGAATGCTGAGGGTTTTGAGTAGGGGGAAGAAAGGGGGCTTGGGGGGTCACTCCTCTCCACCTGACCTATCCCTGAGCTTGTCCCAGGCAGGGGTGACGCAGCCAGGGGTCCTGGACCCACCATTCCTCCTGCCTATGGCTTTGCCTCCGCCCCTTCCCATTTCCAAACAGCGTCTTCCCCCCAAACCAGAGAGTCGGTCCCGGCTCAGTTTGTTCTCCCTTCCCCTGGACAGGTGGCTTCTCACTCCTTGCTGCCTCCGCCAGAACTGGAGGAGAGGGGCCTTCTCTCCTACTCGGCTTCATTGGAGGACGTGAAGACGGCCGTGCTGGGCCTCCTAGTGATTCTCCAGGTGAGAAGCGCCCTCCGGGACGCTCCGGGATGCTCAGCGAGGTCCCGACTCCCACCGTCGCCGGCTTGACCCCGCCTTCCTCTCCTTTCTGCAGACGAAGCTGTACAGCCTGCCCGCCAGCCACCCCACCCGCGTCTACGAGATGTTGGCCCTCCACATCCAGCTCCACTACAAGCACAAGTACACCCTCCCCATCGCCAGCAGCATCAGACTGCAGGTGGGGACCCCCCCCCCAGCTCTAGAACAGAACACTCGCAAGGAGGGAGAGAAGCAGCCGTGGAAAGGGCCTTGCAGGACAGGCCTGCCAGCCCCTCCTCTGGCATCTGAGAGCTCCACAGGCATAAGAGGCTAAGAAGAGTCCTGCTGGCTCAGGCCAATGAGGGTCCATCCAGTCCAGCATCCCATCTCGCACAGTGGCCAACCAGTTCCTCTGGAGGGCCAGCAACAGGGCATGGAGGCCGAGGCCTTCCCCTGATAAGAACCTCAAGAGAGCCCTGCTGGATCAGACCAGTGAGGGTCCATCCAGTCCAGCATCCCATCTCGCACAGTGGCCAACCAGTTCCTCTGGAGGGCCAACGACAGGGCACGGGGGCCAAGGCCTTCCCCTGATAAGAACCTCAAAAGGGGCAACCTCGCACTAGGGCCAACCAGTTCCTCTGTTAGACATATCCTCCGTGAATCTATGGAATCCCCTTTTGAAGCTGTTTATTCCTGTTTCTTCCTGTGACCAGCACTACACTCTCTGGCAGCAGATTCCATATATTGTCTCTAGCCTCCCAAGAGTATTTCGAAGGTGGTTTGAGCTGAATTGGAACCACCTTTGAGTGCTTTGGGACAGCCACTGAGTCTGTCCGTCTTTCCCTTGTGTGCCCGTTTCCCTTTCTCAGGTCTTTGACTTAGCTGTTTATTCCTGTGGCCAGCACTACAGTCTCTGGCAGCAGATTCCATATATTGTCTCCACAGCCTCCCAAGAGTATTTCGAAGGTGGTTCGAGCTCAATTGGAACCACCTTTGATTACTTTGGGACAGCGTGTGCGTTCTGCGTGACTCCTACAGCTTTGGAAAGCGGCCTCCTCTCTCCAACCTTTTCGCTCTGCACTTGGGTCCACCTCCGCCTTTCCCGATGAATGCAGAGCTGAGCAGGGATTGGGGCCCACCTATCCCAAAGTCCGAGTCTGATATCCTAACCACTCACTGTACCGGGTCTCCCTCCCTCTCTCCCCCCCCGCCCGGTCCCCTTGGTGCTATTCACTCTTGCCGCTCAGCCAGGTCGGAAGCCTTTCTCCAACCCAAAGAAGTTTCCTTCGATGGAGGAGGCGTGAGCATTTGGGGGCAGACTTCAGCAGTTGGGGGGGGGGCAGGCACCTAGGGTGCCAGCCCCCCGGTTGTGTGCATGCCCAGCCAGTGGATTTTGTAGTGGTGTGAAACGGTCTCTGGCAATGCGTCATGCGGGATCGGCACACTTTTTCAAATACACTGGGACGGAAAGATAAGGTTCAAATCGTCCCCTGGCAGGGAGGGCAGGATCTTACAGGGCTATTTTTGGGCAGGAACGCACAGGAACGGAGTTCCGGCTGGCTTCATAGTTGGACACTCCCAGTACAGTCAAAACCTCTGCGTGGGTGGCTACAGAGGGAAGGCCTGGAGAACGACCCCTCCCTCCTGCGACTCTGAGGCAGGCGGGCCAGGGGGGCCTGGAAGGATCAGGGAGGCATTTAAATGCCTCCCTGTGCCTTCCCCGGCCTGTCCAAGGGCTGGCTTGCCTGGGCTTCATGCAGCTACGGGGCACCCAGGCAAGCCCTGAGAAGGCATGGGGTGTGGCCTAATATAAGAATGAGCTGTGCTGCCAGGGGTGTGGCCTATTATGCTAATGAGTTCCTGCTTGGCTTTTTCTACCAAAAAAGCCCTGAGGATGTAAACGAATAAAAGACTGAACCTCATCTGTCATTCCAGTGTATTTGAAAAAGCGCGCCCTGCACACGAAATCTCATACCTTGAATAAACCTTTGTTGGTCTTAAAGGTGCCCCGACTGGACTCTGAATTGGTTCTGCTGCTTCAGACCAACACGGCTACCCCACCTGGATCTATCTGCAATTAAAACAGTTTCACAAAGCCAGTTGTTAAAAACTAGCCACTGCCCATAAAACGGCATCAAAAACTGTCCCTAAAACAGAAGCAGGACCGTTTGAAAAAGCTGGTAAAAATAAACTCCTGATAAAAAAAAGCTGTACAGATAAAATCCAACAAAAGTTACTAGTCCAAAAGTAACCTCCTGCATTGCTTGCCCAAAGGGTGGAGGGTGGGTTTGCATAAATCTTCCTTGCGTGGTCGTCTGGAGGTAAGGATCCTTGCCTTTCATAGGCGTGTGGCTGTTTATGCGCCTTTAAAATTCTTGGGACCAGGAGGGACGTGTCCCAAAAGGAAAAGGTGGTGGTGACGCCTTGGGTGATGTAGAATTTAAAGAGCCAACTGGCAAGGCAGAGGGAGTTCCGGGTGCCTCTTGGGGGGGGGGGGGGGGCTCTTCCGGCATTCAAAGCCAAGAATGAATTTCCTCCTCCTGTCTTAGGGAGCCGGAGAAGAAACCAGCGGGCGCCCTCTCTCCTCCCTCCGGCAGCCCCAGCCTGCCCCCTCAGAGCACCACCCTCCGGATCGGCCACCTGCCCTACTCTCTGCTCTTTGGCGTGATCCTGCAGTGCCTCAAGCAAGTGAGTGATCCCCGGCTCTTGAGCCAGGAGGTGGGCTGAAAGGGAACGGCTGCAAGCCCCAGAGCTCTTAAAGGGGGCTTGAGATGGATGGGAGGCAACAGAGCACAGGGGCTTGTGCTGTTCTTCTTGGGCGCTCCCTTAACTTCCTTCATTCCTTCCTTCGTCTCCAGGAGACAGACTGGAAGGTGCTGAAGCTCGTTCTCAACAAGCTGCCCGAATCGCTGCAGTGCAAAGTGCTGTACTTGACCTCCCCGTGCAGCGTCGACCAGCTGTCGTCCGCGCTCTGCTCCATGGTACGCGCGCGGCTGACTCCTCGCCCGCTCCTCTGGGGTCTCCTCCCTGCCCGGGGAAGTTGTCAACCACCCTGGAGCCTCACCGCCTCCTTCCTTTGGCCTCTTGAAGGCGCCGTTGGAGGCCTCGTGCCAAGGCACAGATGGTGATGAAATGGAGTGGAGCAAGTGGGGACCCGCAAGAAACTTGCAGGGAGGGGGCATCCCCCCCCTTTGCTTCATTCCCTCTCCCTCTGTCTTCCCCTTTCTTTTTCTCCCTGAGCCAATTCCCCCCCCCTTTTTTCTATCCAACCCTCCACCAAGCCAATCCCTCCCTCTTTGACTTTCTCTCTCTCTCCTAAGCCAGTCCCTGCTTCTTTCTCTCTCCCTCTTTTTTTGTACCTTTGAGCCCGGCGGTGGTGCAGTGCCTGGGAGCTGGTCCAAGCCAGACCATGCTTTTTATTTTGGGGGGGGGGGATTTAAAAACCCACCAATGTATTTTTTTAGAAGTTTTCAGATTTTTCTGCAAACCTAAGTTTGTAGAAAAACTTGTTTGGGGTAAGTATGCCCCCTGTCTGCAGATTTAGGTATTCACACATAGGGGACTGTTGAGAATTAGATATATAGATCGTGCCACTTCAGGCCGCAGGTGGTGAATTGCAGCTTTAAATGTTCCTTTGCATGCAGTACTGGTCCCCTGATAGACAGGCAGCCTGCTGTTGACCAGTCAGGCTCTTCTGCCCTTGGTCTGGTGAGTAGAACAGTACAAGGTGTTGCTCAAGCCCTGCTTTGGGGGTCTCGCTTCCCACTCCTCACCCAGGAGTGGACCCCATTGTCATAAGAACATAAGAGAAGCCAATGTTGGATCAGGCCAATGGCCCATCCAGGCCAACACTCTGGGTCACACAGTGGCCAAAAATACCAGATGCCATCAGGAGGTCCAGCAGTGGGGCCAGGAGGATGCTAGAAGCCCTCCCACTGTCCCCCCCCCCAAGCATCAATAATACAGAGCATCACTTGCCCCAGACCAAAAGTTCCTATCTATACCTTGTGGCTAAGAGCCACTGATGGACCTCTGCTCCATATGTTTATCCAATTCATAAGAACATAAGAGAAGCCAATGTTGCATCAGGCCAGTGGCCCATCCAGGCCAACACTCTGGGTCACACAGTGGCCAAAAATACCAGGCGCCATCAGGAGGTCCACCAGTGGGGCCAGGACACTAGAAGCCCTCCCACTGTTGCCCCCCCAGCACCAAGAATACAGAGCATCACTTGCCCCAGACCAAAAGTTCCTATCTATACCTTGTGGCTAAGAGCCACTGATGGACCTCTGCTCCATATGTTGGAGAATATGTCGGAGTTGAGGGCTATGCTTTCTAGGCCCGGGTTCCAGCTTCCAGCCTGGCAGAATTCCAGTTCAGAGCATTAACAGTTCAGGTTCCCATCCCCGACCTGGAAAGCCTGATCTCTTCAGAAAGTAAGTAGGGTCGGCCCTGGTGAGTACCTGGATGGGAGATTGCCAAGGAAGTCGAGAGCTGCTATGCAGAGGCAGGCAATGGCCAGCCACCTCTGAATGTCTCTTGCCTTGAAAACCCTATGGGGGTCGCCAGAAGTCGGCTGCGGCTAGAGGGCTATTTCCTCTAGGGAGGCTATCGGAGACCAGGAAACGGCAAAGAGAAGGGTAGCTGGAATGATCAGGATGGTTGAGCTTCTGTCCTTTGAGAGAGAACTCAGTGCCGTTTTCTGCAGTGTCAGGTTTCCCCCCCGCCTGCTCTTCTATTCATCCGTGGCTTCCCCCGGTTTCCGCAGATGATTTCTCCCTCCCAGGAGCAAAAACGCAGTTTGCCCCCTCTTGCAGTGCAGCTACCTGATAGAATTTGAAAGATATGCTGTCTTAGATAGGTTATTACGTTTGCCACAAAGGGTTCCGATGGGACCCTAGACAATGCTGCTATCTTAAGAGCTTTTGTGCTCGCAAAGAAAAATTATTGTGCCTTGTGTTCTTTATATATACATCACGGTCCTTGAAAAAGATCCTTTTGAAACGGGTCAATGACTAGAGTCCCGTGGGACTAGTGATCGTGTTACTGACAAGGTGCTGTCTGAATGTAAACCTGCACTTGATATATTGTTTGGGTGAAACATGTTTTTCTCTATGTATCGTTTGGGTGAAATATATTTTTGATAGTATTTGATACCAATATTTAGACCACAGCATTGAAAAATATAAAAAGAAAAAGAATAAAGCATAAAATTGTTTTACCATAAACATATATTTTATTGAAATACTTTATCATCTTTCCCTTGCAATATTACACTTAATTTGCCCATTTCTGCTACCTCCAACAGTTTTATAGCAAGTTCTTTTCTCGTTGGTATTTTTTCTTGTTTCCGGTACTTTCCTATTAGGATTCTTGCTGCGGTGAGGGTATAGGTTAGTACATATACAACATTTTCTTTATATTCCTTGGGGATTATATTTAACAAGTAAATCTCTGGACACAGTTTCAGCTTAATATTTAACATTTCTCTTATTATATTCCTTATATTTTGCCAAAATTTACAAATTTTTCTACATTTCCACCACATATGGATAAATGTACCTACATTCACTTTACATTTCCAACAGTTTTTATTTGGTGGGCAAAGGAATACAAATGGATAAAGGAAAAGAATAAACAATAGACTCAAGAATATTATTTATGTAAATATTAAGATATGTATGATTATATTTTGTAAAATGGATTTTTTTTTAAAAAAAACATATTTTATTGTACACAGTGATATCTATTTATGTAAGCCCTCTTGCAGTGCAGTGTGGGAAATTCCCGGAAACAGGGAAGTCTGATGCTGCGGAGCAACAGGGAACAAACCACGTTTTTGCACCTGGGACTGCAAAAACATCTGCGGAAATGAGGGAACGTAGCAAATACGTGTGCAGGCGCAAGGAGAACCGTCCTTGTGGAAAACGTCGATGTCTCGGGCGGCCAGGGCACTTTTTGTAGCCAGAACTCCTTTGCCTATTACGTAGGCGACACACCCCTAATGTAGC